GGGGAACTCTGCAAAAAACGCATCTTCGCACGGGCAGCCCGTGCGTTGGCCAATTTTTTTTGTTCGAACACTCAGTTGCCAACGATAAAATAATAAACAGTAAAAATAGTAAAATATCAATTTAGGAGAATAAAAAGTTCGCTGTTCCTGAGTGCATCAAAGAGCTTTACCAGAAACGATGGAATCACTGGAAGAAAAATGAACTACCGGCTGAAGAGGAGCAAGACGCGTGGTTCTCGAATATACTGCGGTTGCAAAAAATGCAAGCTCAACTGGATTTATGCCAGCAAAGTTGCCCAAAATCGACCAGCAAACGGGATAATGTTGATCCAAAAGAAACAGAAGCTTCTGGGGATCTTGATTCAGAGCTGACAAAAACTAAGGATTCAGCAACCAGTCGGGGATTCGACGTAACTGAACAAGATGATATTTATGCACAATGCGCTGGATTGGTAAGTATGAATTACTGAAATACGATACAACACTGAGCAAAGTATTGGAACGAAAGCATGGAAAATGCAGGAAAGTTGGTTATTAGCACACCAGGAATGCATGGCCTAACTGAGAATTAAGTTTTTGCAAAAATAAAAAGTGTGTGGAGCTAATTGCGCTACTTATAAGTTCGCCCCTTCTCGTCTTTTTGTCCTCGTTTCTCTGGTCCTATGCATTTTGACACATGCTCATCATATACATGGCAAGTAGGAGGCTGTACTGATGATTCCCACTCCTTTCCAAATGTTTGCATTCAGTCTATGTTTAGAGCTCCTGGCATGCCTTGTACTTCCTGTCAGAATGTATTTGATTGCTTCGATCTGTTACTGTTTTATCGTTGGAATTTTACAATTAGTAGCATCCCCGTTTCTTGGTGTGCAAGTCTTTTCCATCCACATATTTTCATACATTCGTTCAAATGAGCTTTTTTTTTGTTGGCGGACCGGCTCTTGTTCTTCTGATATTGCGTGGTTACTATTCGCTTTTTTTCGCTTTGTCCATCGCATCCATTCCTGCCACACAGCTGCTGTTTCTACAACTCCGGCCAATTCCCGACCGTTGGTTTCGTTTCATCGCCTTATGGGATTGTCAGCATATACATTAATATTTACCTTGAAAAGACCAAAAAAACAGTATTTTATTGAAGTCAGAAATACAAAATCCGAGTATTTATATGGAAATCAGTAATGAAAAGGTGTTTGGAAGTTGTCAAGAACTAAGCTAATAAGAGCCTTGCTATTTGGCACAGACATGTTTTGGCCAGAAAGTAATATTTCTCACAAAGCTCAGTCTGAGATTGCACGTGGGACAAATAAATCATCATAATCTTGATTGAAAAAAAAAATGTTGCTTTTCAGTCAAAAGATACGATTTCAAAAGTTTCTTTGTGAATATTGTGAAAGTTGTGTAACAAAAAGGACAAAAATTTTTTTGTTCGAATTTCCAACTTTTTAATTTTAGGCCAATTTTATCGAGTTACCTTTTTTGAAACAAATTCGTCGTGAATGTCTTTCGTTGATGGAGAATGCTGAAAATCGTGAAACTCGCATTATTGGCTTGCTGGCATATCAGAGGCTCGAGCAATTGTTATGTGCTGCAGGATACAAACAAAATATGAATCGTTTAAAATTTGAGCAAAGTTAGTTTTTAAAGATATGATTTTTTTCAGTTTAGAGGGAAAAGAGGAGAAAGAGGAGCAGGAGAGGGGGGGAGGGGGAGAAAAGGGAGGGGGAAAAGAGGGCTGGGAATACAGGAAGTTTTATGTTCACTGTCTAGTTTTTTGAGAAATAATGGTTTTCAATGTTTTCCGGTGAACAGCTAGTAAATATGTATACATGTACGTGTGTATATGTATGTATGTTCACGTTTGTATGTGCGTTTGTGTATGTGTTTGTTTGTATGTGTGCGCATGAGGTTGTGTGTGTGTGTTTTTGTGCTATATATGTTTGTGCGTATGTGTGTGCATGCGTGCGTATGCTTGTGTGTGCGTGTGTATGTATGTGTGCACGCGTGTGTACGTGTGGGTGCACGTCTTTGTGTATGTGCACGTCTTTGTGTATGTGCATGTACTTCTTTATGCGACTGCGTGTCCGTATATCGTTGTGTATTTGTGTAGTTGCTTCTTCTCTGTAGTCTACTTGGTTTTGTTTTCAGAAACGTTACGTGCTAATTTGCCAGTACTCGCGGTCCTGAAGGGTAACGGTGCAGACGCATATCCTGTACAGAAAATGAACACTATCATAGGCATTGATTCATTTTGCGATTTTAATTTGAGAAAAATTGCACCACTGTGTCGTGCTATTGCTGCTCGCCATTGCATTTTGCTATTCAACAAGGTGAGCATTTTTACTCATACTGGCCGGCGAGTTGTACCAACTAGGAATTTTTGAAAGAAATCGGAAAAAACATGAAAAGAAGATAAAAACTTAAAAATTGTTCATTTTTCTCACGATAAAGTCAAGTCACTGTACGGACAGTTTCTGGTGTTTTTTTTTCGTGGGGTTTTTTGTGATCGTTGTGAACGTGGCTTAGCAGCGTGAGAGCAGCGTTTT